ACTCCAGGCCAGATTATAATTTCAGATGTGTGTCAGGCCAATGCAATTTGCCTACAAAAGCGTTTGCAGGCAGCAGCGGCTGGTCCAGAGGCAGGCCCCTCACCAGTTGCACTTCAGCAGGACTGAATAAGAAGGAGACAGTCTCTGTTCTCTGAACAAAGCTCAAGCTAATTAAATATTTAATGTTTTTTTTCCTCCCAAATCCTTTGGTTTCTTGCTCTTTCACACTGCGATATGATGACATTTGAACAAATGCAGGCTCGGTAGCTTGGTCTCCTGGTAGTGCCGCTCACAGGAGCAGCTCGCCTGCCGCAGCTGAAGCCCAGATGCCACATTTATGAGGTATTTTGTCGTGATCAATTTTTAAAAAAACATTTTCCATCCCATGAAATTAACCAGCACCTGGGGAAATGGCAACCGGCTCCTCGCCTCTCCCGCAAATACCAGCCTTTCCCAGGTGGGAAGGGATTTCTCTTTCCCTTTATTTACCTGCAAGATGTCCGTGCTGATGCTCAGAGTCACGGTGGGAGAAGGAAAAATAAGAAAACCTTTGTAAGTGGAAAACCTTACAAACAGACCGACTGCACATGCTCCAACTGAGAGCCTTGTGAGGGTCCATTATACTGAACAAACCCTGCGTAATCTTCCCAGGGTGGCACAGTGAGCATCAGCGAGACAGCACTAAGACAGAGACAGCCTGATTTTTGTAACCACTCTGATTACTTGAAGACCCCAATTTAAAAGGCCATAGGTTTGTGCTGGCAGCGAGGGCAGAGATAACCACTGACGGCTTTACAAATTGGTTTTCTTGCAGCCGCCTCACTGCTGTGGGCCTGCAGCTGTTTCTGTGTTGTCTTTTTACTTGTGTGTGTTATGTAGCAAATTATTTATGTTTTTCCCTACAAGAAAACTCAAAGCAAGGCAGAGATGAGTGGGAGCCTCGCCTCCATCTTCACACACCGCTGTGTGCCTCCCACAGCCTTGAGCGCTCAGGCCAACCTCCCCTGGCCAGCATGTTCCTGCCTGCCAGCATCAAGCACCCTCTTGTGCTTGCTCATCAGGTAGCGTTGTGGCTACAGAGTGTTCTTCAAGAGACTTTGGGACACTTAAAACCAACCAATCGACCCAGGAGAGCACCTGAGGGTTAAAATCTGAAATTGCTTTCATTTCTTTTCTTGCTAAGCTTCTCCTTGCTGTTGCAGTTCCCTTTCAGAATGGAGAGTCTGCAGGTGGCTGCTTTGACATCATCTGTGAAGACAAAGCAGTTTAAAAGCTGCTGTTACAGCTGGTTAGCCTTTGGCTGCCATGACCCCTCTGTTAGTAAAGGGAGAGTTTTTCTTGTACTTATTTTTCTAACAAAGGGTAAGTATTTGTTTTCATAGACTTTTGCAACCAACCAGGCAGAGCATGTCGGGAGAGATGCCTGCCTGGCTCATAGCACTCTGGTTAAGGGAAGGCTGGTTCAATACACACCAGAGCAACTAACAGCAGACAATGGTGACTTGGGACTTCTCAGGTAAAATAAATACAGGTATTTTCTGAACAAAAGTAGTCCATCATTTGTGCTGTAGCTGCTCATTGCTATGTCACTAAAACCCCAACTGTTTGTGATTTCTCATTATGACCCTTCATGCCTGACTGAAAATTAGTCAAGTGGGTGTGCTCCAAAAGGAACTGCCCCTTCCCAGGGGGAACCCTGATAGCTTTATGGCTGACACTTTCATGGCACAGGCATGGCTAATTTTGATGTGGAAAAGCAGCACAGGTTTGCAGCATATGACAGCAATAGCTCTTCAGTTCATACACAGAAGCATATGTAAGGTTGATATTTAAAGACATTAATAGTACTCTTCTTTCCCCCCCCCCCCCCGCCCCAATAAAAATAAATTGAAACTTGTTTTTGCACTAGAAAAAATACACATTATAGGTCTGGGGTTTGGTGGTGGGGTTTTTTTTAGCTCTATGTTTCTTTTCCCTTTAAAAGCTATATATGCATATTTTTTGTAAGCTACAACTGGATGCCATTATATTGTTAAAACATGCACTGTAATTTCAAATTATTACTATCTTGACAGCATCATCTCATAATAAATCATTTTTATCCATTATCTAAAATCAACTTTTAATTAAAAGAATACATTATATTTGTTTTGAGCCTAAATTGCCCTGATTATTTTAAAATTACGTGTGATGTTGGCACATGCTCAGTCTATGGCATGTGTATTTCTGTTGGGGTTTATTGTCTGCCTGAAACGTGAATTTCAGTTATCAAGCATTAGTTAAGTGTTTAGGAATGCTCAGGGTCTGCAATTAATTTGGCGAGGAATTATCTCTTTTTGTAGCCTATATGTTAGAAGGAGCACATGATCCTCTATCCAAACTGTACTGTATTTGCACAAAATTGGTATTTTTCTAACCTTAACAAGAAAGGTTTGCAGGGACCGGAACCCATCTGACACCTGGCTCAAGCTCCAATAGAGGTGTCCTACCAGGCATGTGCTCTGCTCAGTGTATTATTTGGCACCCCTGATGCTATGCTACACCCTGACTGCATGCCGGTTACTTTGACATTTTATACTTAATGCAGGAGGCCGAAAGTCACCTACAGACAGTTCCTCGAGGCCACACATGGCAGCACGTGGTTGCAGGGAAAAGGCAGTACCACTGTGCGCATCGCTGCCCACCTCTGCAAGTGCCTGGAGAGGCCTATGAGAGGATGTTCCTGTGCCCCAGTCACACAGCTACCAAAGGCAGGTAGAGCTTCTCCATTGTCATCCCAACAAAACCAGCTTCACTAATAATGAAATCGGACACTGAGTACATTGGAATATTTTATTTTGACTTTACATGCGGTGTTAAAAACCCAAAGAACGTATTATTTACACATCCACAATACAAGTTTACAAGATATCTATACATGTTAAAGTACTCTATAGTATAGAGCAGCTTCATTTAAGGGTTACTTTTTTTATGCCGTACCATTAAAAAAGATACAATCTGCGTTTACCTTTGCACAAATGGATAAAGCATCTTTTATTATTAAATTAACAGAATAAGGACTAGGTTGAATGTTAGAAATTTCAACATAAATACTGAGAGAACTCACATTACCATCTACAAGGCAGCACAATGTTACAGGAGGTTATCAGGGTTCACATACATTTATTGTTCGGTTTCACACAAGTCTGTATTAATATTTGTAAAGTGAATTCAGATCAGTTTGTGTCTTTTGACAACCAAGTACATTTTTAATAGTTATTAATCTGTAGTGTTTTAGTTGCAGGACAGAAGTGTTTAGGAAGAGAGATCGTTGATTTTTGGATCCAGAGGTCTCGGGAAATAAATGTCCCTTACAGCCTTACAAGAAAAAAATGACTACTTCTATCCTCTATTCTTTGTTCTGTAACAGAGATCCTCTCTTCAGTGGCTAACCTTTCCTCCCCCTTGAACACATAATATAAATCTCCACCGTCTCTGAAACCCATTGCAGTTATTTGTCCTGCTAATTCATGAATTCATGAATTCTGCCGTGGTTATTTCTATAGTTATGTTCAATAAACAATGTGGTAGTGTGTAGTTTGCAAGCTAAAATAGCCATCTGTGTTGAACATCAGCTGCAAGTGGATACTGCAAAACCTACTAAATAGCTTACACAACTTTAGCAGGTGTTCCATTACCCTAGAAACCTCATTTGATTTCACATTATATGTGTTTGATCCTTCAGAGAGCTGGAGTAGAATGTTTATCATGGTAAGGTGATTTAATGCTGCTGTCTTCTTGGACTGTAGGCTGCCTTTCGTTACCATTAATTATTCTTGCTTTTTATCTTTCTTTTTTTTTTTGGGGTGCTGTTGAGAGGTTTTACAACTGGCACTCGGGAGATATGTGCTATAGTGAGAACACTGGACAGATTCATTTATTTTTTTAGTACTTTTATCATTTGCATGAATAAGGCACAAAATGCACAGATTCAGGTAAACTCACACATAATATTTACAGAATATTGTCATTACCTGCATGACTTTGGAAAAAAAAAAACAACCTTACATTACACAACAAAAACGAATTGATTGCACTACTGTTGAGTTTTCACAGACTGCTTCTGCCAGGCCAATTAATGTTTCTTCTTTTTTATTGACAAGAGTCTATCAGCGTGTAGGGCATTATTAAATGCAACAAAAACATAACCTTCTCTAGCTACACAGGCCTTTGCTGAGTGGATTGATTATTAGCTGCCCTCAATGAGAAGTACAGGGTCACAGGTTCACAGTGGCCAGGTACTGGACGGAGGCACTGTGGAAACACAGCACGACTCCTCCGCTCCAGCCCAAACCACTAGATTTGAAATGCACAGCTCTGAATCAATAGCAGCATAACAGAGTTATGAAGAATTAAACAATCTGCGCTCTTTCACTGGGTGACTAGCTCATCGAGGCGGTAGTGTTCAGAAGGTTGGCAGAGATGCGCAGTTCGTCCTTAGCTGTCTCCAAACGGAACCCAACGGGCTGCAGAAGGCAGAGTCATCTGTTTGTTCAGTCATGCTCAATGTAAACAATTCCATAGCATAAAAGATGCAATGGGAATCTAAGTACATCCTAGTGTGTACAGTACACACGCACATCCACACACACGCACAGCTTTATCTGTGGCACAAACAAAATGCCACACACATGGAGAGAAAAAAATAATAATGCTACAGTTGGGCCAGAGACTGAATTCCAGGAAATTGATTGTTAACCCAGATAGTCGTTGAGATATTACCGTTTTCTGACATTTGTGCAAGAGGCAAGGTGAATGCATACATAGTAAAACGTTCACATTTAATGGGAAGGACCACGCTTAATGGCAGTCTAAAATGGAACCCATTTTTCAAGTATTTGCTTACTGATTTTTTCCCAGTAACTTTTTTAGCTATTCAGAACAGTAAAGTAGCCCCCACCCCATTGTGCTACATGTCTCCTTAGCTCCAAACAAAAGAAATGTAATGACCAGCACTTTCCTTTGTTTTTTGTGTTTGCTCTTAGCAAGTACGCGGAGTCTTGCTATAGCTACATGTGGCAAGACACAAATGTTGCTGAAGTAAAGACAGTTTCTTTGGCCACTTTGTTCTCTGTAATAACAAGCAAGTCTCTGTCTCCTGTGTCTACCACAACATCATCTCACAACCTGTACAGGTCAACGCCACACTCATTTTTAGCACAGACATGTCCTAGTAACTGTACTTGTTCAGTGGTCTGACTGAAGTTGTTTGGGGAACGAATGAGGGTTTTGGTGGCACATCGGGTTTTAAGGAGGATGTCCTCTTTATGCCTGTACGAGGAAGGGTGCCGTTGCTCGTGTAACTGCTTTGCCTGGACAAGGAAGGCTGGAGGTGAACGCTGACAGGCGTCCCTTGCATGTAGTCCATCTTTGTGCCTGCTGTGGGAGGTATGTACCCCCCACGATTAATACTAGGCTGTCTGGATAACAAAACACCATTAGGTGAGTTTAAGTTTTTAGGAAGGGCAGATATTGAATGCCTCTGTGAAGAATTTTTGTGATAACCTCTCTGCCTTTCCAAGGAGGTCATTGGTACTCCAGGAGTGGTGGGAACATCCACTCGTTTTGTGGGGCTGTTTCGTGGAAGAGTTGATGGAGGAGAGTATAAAGATGCCTCCCTGTTGGGAACCTTAGGTGGGATCTCGGACATATTTCCCATTGGATCCAACATTAAAGTCTGGTGGGCCACTTGAATATCTCCCATAATTGCTTTAGGATTACCAGTAGTTTCATTTAAGTGTTTCAGAAAATCATTCAGGGTGTTCCTGGAATCAACAGATCTCCTGTGGTCTCTTTTGCTGGATGGTTTTGTAAGTGGGTGATCAATATGCTGCATCTTTTTGTCTGCCTTGTGTGCATTAGAATTTGAGAAAGATGTATTGTAATCATGGGTAGCATTGGGAAGAACAATAGCACTAGGGATATGTCCGTGACTTAGAGGAGAGTGCGGTGGAGGACTGGAAGGAAAAAACTGAGGGCTTTTTAGCGGCGTTTCCTTTCGTGAAGCATTGAGGTTACCAAGTGCTTTGTCCGACTGACTCTTCATAGCCTGCAGAGTCTTTTGTTGAAGAACTGGGGTAGATTCAGGAGTTGGAAGCGCAGCTAATTCCGGAGGCTGGCCTCTGTGGTCCATCATCATGGCCTTTGTATCACCGTTTGGTGGCAACTCCTTCCTGCTAGTCAACAGGTTTGTGTAAAGTTTAGGGGAATCAATGTTTTGTTGATACTCCTTAACAGGACTATCAAAGAGCCCATTCAGTTTAGCAAAGCTCCCACTGGAGTCAGTACAGGACTGAGCAGATTCTGCATCTTTGTGTATTTTTCTGGATTTCCGCACAAATATATCCCGGTAACAGTAAACGGCCACTCCCGCAATAAAGGCTCCCAGGACAAAAGCAGCAAAGACACAAGTGATAAGGACATTCATATGCACCATTTGGTTGGACTCTCCTGATTGTACTTCCCACCTTACACCTGCAAAAGACACGCAGTATATCATAAATCTACACGCAGTTCATAGGGATACATTGAGAAGGATGTAGCCTCCCTCAGGGCTGTGTCTATGAAGTGTTTGTAAGTGCTCTGTGTAACTCAGCTGGATCCTGCTCTGCTGAATGCAAATACTTTTCTAAATAAAAATGTGTGAGCATTGACCAGTCTAAACAAAGACTGACCATTTTCTTTTATAATACGAAATTCTTGTCCAAACTTCTCTCCTTGTATGAGTTTCTGTTTAGCCTGTCCCCAAATTTTCTTTAAGGCTCACAAATAGGGGCCTGTATGCTATTAACATTAATGATTTCATCTGGAAAATTGAGGTTGGAAGGTGCTACTGGGCCAGAAAACAGTAACTTGTGGATGGATTTCTTGCTCAAGTTTCTGCTCAACTCATAAATCAGTAGCAAGAGAGATAGGATTATGTAAATGTTGTGTAAAACTCTATCATGTATATATTGCATAGTGATAACCATGTTAATCTACTACAGTGTAGAACTTGTGAACTAACCCGGCCAGAGTTTGCTAGTCTTGGAGTGGCACACCTTGCATTACATAAATGTGCAACTGTGGAAGTTCCAGATTATTAGAGCACTAATTTTTCTTTTTAGTCAATAATGAACATAAATATTTGTATAACATTAAAAACCCCCAAATTGCAAGGTTAAATTATTAGAGAATGTTAAAATTTAGAAAACTTTTAGCTTAGACCAAAAACTTGAATACTAGATTAGTTTTTTATTTGTGTATTAACAAGCTCCCTTTGTTTTCTGAGATTTTTTAAAGCAACCACAGACATCTTGCAACTAAGACAATGTTAGTTTTTAATGGAAGTAATTCTGCTAACTATCCCAAGGCATGTTAAAATGAAAGAGCAAGAGGAAGGAACAGCTTCACTTTTGTTACAGGCAAGGCCTTTGAACATTGTTCATGTTCAGGGTTATAGGTTTTAATGGCACAGTGCAGAAGAAAGAAAACATGAATAAAGTTCACTATTAGCTATGACAGGAGAGCAAATGATAACAAAAACTTAAAGCAAAATGGAAAATAACTGCAACAAATTAAAATGACAAATGCACTGCCAGAATGGCTGACAGGAAACCTGATATGTTTTGGTGAATGGTAATAAAACACAAATGGGTTTTGGCTGGTGAGATTTGCAGTAAATACAGAATTGTGCAAACATGTCTGTCACCTGGCTATGCTGTGTACTGATGAAGACTTGGGTTAAGTTTTTGTTATTGGAGTGGAAGCTTCTTGATTCTTTGGTTGACTGCAGTAGTCCTGCTGAATTAAACCCCCTGTTGCTGAAAGAGCCTAATCAAAGGTTCACTTAGCTGAAAGAATGCCTGCAGAAAGATGAGTTATAAGCAGAATATGCTTCTTCTTATGTTCAGGTTAAAACCTGTGTGTGTCTCACTATGTACTGAGATCATCTGTAAAAGGATGCTCATAGCCACAGCTTAAAATTTCAGCACAGGCTTACTCAGATCTGGCCCATGTTCTTCAGAAAGGTGGTGCAGGCAGGCAGAGTTTGGGATGCACCCCATTTAATGCATGGATCTCCCATGGACCTGTGCTTTTGTTTTCTGTTCTGCCACTCCAAACCAACCAAAGAACCAACCCTCCCTTAAGCTCTTGTAAGCAACCATTCATGAGCACCAATAGTCTTATCCAAACAGGACTGGTCTGAAAACAACCATCAGAGCTGCAGAGAAAGTCTTGAATGTAATTTTTTTTAATGCATCCAGAACTCCTACTGATTTTAATGGGAGCTTTGGAGCACCCCAGGAATAAAAGGCTGAGCTTATTATCTGTATTTCCCATTATAAGATCTAAGCAGCGCTTTGTACACGAGGTAAGTAGGTAAGAAAAACATGATTGCACTGTCTGCATATTCACAGGAAATGGGTGTAAAGTATAGACTAACAATCATGGCTATTACATTTTAGCCTTAGACAATGCTGAGACTATCAGGTTTCCGTTCAGCTGCAATGTATTCCCTGGTAAGGCCTTACCCTTTGGGACACCTGATAATGGATCAGAATAATCAGAAGTGTTTGGGTCATCTTGAACTACAAATTTCCGAGAGCCAGTCACTTTAGGTTTCCAGGAACCAATCACTTTGGGTGATATAACTGGGATACTTGCCATTGTGGTAATGGAAGCTGAGGAGAACTTCATGTCTGTGGTGGCAAACAGATTTTTATTAACGTGTTTCATGGCACATCTAAGCTATAGCTGGAGACAGTATGTAAAGGGAGTTACAAGTCAGAGCAAAACGTGACCCCCTACACTCTGCAGAGGTACAGAGGGCTGATCAAAATCAATTGCTTCAACACAAAAAAAATACATTAAAACATCAACAGCTGCTAGCCAAAAAAAGCCAGAAGTCAAACACGAAAGCAGTGCAAAAGTTAAAGTAAGCAACTGGTGCAGGTGAAAAGCACAACTTATTCTATTTAATTGCCATGTTCCTCGCTGGAGACAATGCACTTGGCTGCCTTCTAAACATCAGAAAAAAAAAGTTACTTGGAAAGATCCACGCTCCTGACAGGTTACTCCTGAGAAACCAGATCAGCTCCAGTAGCGCTATTAGGTTATACCAGGAACTGCTGAATAAGCCGTTTCTACAGGTGGGGATGAAAGGAATGTTTTAACCCCTGTTTTGTAATGGTTCCTAAGGAACAATGTTGCATAGATTCTAGCTCCTCTGTAGTACATTTGCGGAACAGAATCACCACGGCCTACTTGAAAATGCACGTGAGGAGGAAACACATCAAACTGGGGTTACAATCCAAAGTCTGCTTTGCACACTCAACTACTTTGTGTTCATTGTCCCAGCAGGTTTAGGCATGAATGCCTATGGCTCGAGATCTGACTGAGAAATGTACTTCAAAAGCACACTTACTTACTTGAAACAATGCTCAGTTGTATCTGTGTCCTAAAATATCACTTTGAAAATTCAGCTGATAAACACTTGTGCAAGCAGGGCAGCATTTCCATGCAACAGTTTTGGTTTATTTTGCTTTCCTAAGTGAGTCCCTAACTTACAGTATGGGTAAATATATCTGGAAAATATTTGTCTCAAGCATTACTTCTTATGAAGTTACAGAAGTGCAAATATCACAAACCAAAATATAAAACGGCGTTCTTGTTCTTGCTGCACTCTTACCAATTTAATGTACAAACACATTGTTTTCATATTTGTCAGTCAGAAACGTGCACCTGGTTTAAAAGCAGAGACCCAAGTTCCAAGGAGCAAAGACTGGAAAATAAGAGCTCAGTCTTGCTCCTGTTGAAGTCAACACAGGTTCTGCTTTTTTGAGTTCAGTGGAGAAGTACTGGGTCCTGCCTCCCTTCACATCAGGGGCTGACAGTGAAAACACCATTTGAAAACCACTGAAGGAGGAAAAGATGTGAAAGTCCATCTGACAATAATGCATACATTTTTTTGTAAGCCACCTTTGTCTACTCAAGTCCTCATTCAGCTACACAGTTTGTGATGTTAAATTTTTCCATTAGCATAAGCTACTTAAAACATCTCAAAAATATAGAAATACACATTGTAGGAAATGCGTATTTGTGCAAAAAGCTTGCTGGGAACAACGGCAAAGAGGAAAGGAGAGGCAAGGAGGAAGATGATGAAGTTCTGCCATTCATCTACTAGAGATGACCAATAGGGGCATTCACAAATGCATGGCTGGGGATAAAGAGTAAAGCTTAGTGGACTTTCGAGCAGTGAAGATGTCATCTATGTTAATCAAGCTCTTTAATAAAAGATGTCCCAATAAATAATGAGCTGTTAACATGCAGCTACACAGGGTGAAGTGCTGAGTGAGAAGAGTCTGACTATCTTTACCATCAGTGGGAACATGAGTAAAAGCACAAAAATGGAGGATTGCCAACTGTGCAAAAGGAAGGAAAAAAGGGCTGAAAATGCTGAACTGAAGGAAAGTAAAGGTCATTAATTCAAAAAAATTAAAAAAAACTAACCAGATGTTGGGTCGCCAAATATTTTGTAATCTGGTGTAGCTGTAGTAGGCAAAATTTCTAAAAGAATTAAAGGAACAAGTAATCAGTAAAAAGTAACAAAAAGAAAGCAAAAGATCTCAAACCTGAGTAATGGAAAATAAGAACTAAAATATTACTGCTTACAAAAAGAAATTCTTCAGTACTTTGCTGCAGACCCCAAATAGCTGTAAACTGGCGAAGGAAAGACAAAACTCTGCCACCCAGGACCAAAAGGCTCAGCTTTGTGAACAATCACAGTGATATGTTCATCATCTTACTGAAAAGCTCATCATAAATTTAACATCCACAGTGAGGTGTGGCCACAGACTACTGTCGAGACATCGCAGAGGAGCAGCAATGACTGTGCCTTACCGTGGCAGTCCCCAAGCTGGGCTGTGTTGCCGTATTCGACATCTTGTACATATCCTCCGGTGCTGTGGTTGTATGAAACAAACAAAGAGAACCTGCAATTAACAGTATCAGTAGGGAAACAAAGCGTGATTTTTTTCTTTTTCTGGAAGCAGCAAATGGAAACAAGAACAAGAGCCAGTGTATGGCCCAAAGAAGTGTTTTACAAAATGCACAAGTTAGTTATAACCAGGCTTTAAAACTCTATATGTGCTTATGCCAGGAAATAAATAAGAAAATAATGGGGAAAAAATTCCCCTTCTTCAGCAATTTCTATATTGGGCATGCTCGGTTTTAGATACAACCATCCAATTATACTAGTTAAAAGTTTGCACTGGCTTGCTACAAAGGCCTCTTTTTAAGTACAGCTGCTAATGCACTGTATATTACAGACTTGATTTGTGCAAAATGCCTTTGGCATGCATATATATCACCCAAGCTCCATCGTGGAGGCAAATCTTACTCTCTTCCCACTGTGAATCCTGTGCTTTCATACTTGCAATTGACTGTGCCCTGGCTGTGAGCACGCCTGGGAGGGGAGACTGTGTATTGTGCTCCCTGAGCTGCTCAGGTTTGCAGGCAGCAATTTCTTGCCTTCCTGCTTCCAACACTCTTCCTACAGGTCTGCTTGTCCTCCCTCACACATGTAAACCTCACCCTGAAAGCAAGTTTTCACCTAGAGATTGCAGAATTGGGTCAGACTTTAGCATTCTGTTATCCTACATATACCATACACTGAAAAAACATCTTTAAAAAAATACAGATTTATTAAGTGAGTGCAAGGGAACAGCCATAGGATAAGAGCTTGTGTGGTCTATAAAGCGTATGGAGGTGCTGAGCTAATGTGGAAAGCAGTACTTACGGCATGCCTGGTGTCACTCTTCCACATGCCTCATGGTCTAACCAGCCACAGTACGGGTCTCGTGAAGCAATACATGCCCTTGCAAAAGAAAAACCCCAAAAAATCATGCATTTTTTACTTCCTTCCCAAGAGATGTTGGTGCCCTTCCTTTAAGGGGGAGTTTGGGAACGGGGCCGTACTTTTTACATGACCCATGACGCTCACACCGGCTCAGAGGAATTCTAATGACGCAGCTGGAGAACGCCACGAACAGAGCATGGTGGTCTCTATCCAACTGAAGGGCAATGACTCTTCTGTCCTCCTCGCTCTCAGCATTACACCTGCCCAGCAAAAATAATGGGAGGCCATTATTTTAGTAACTGTAGTTCTTTGTGTGGCACTTACACTGTAAACATTTTATTTACTGTCTGTGCAGATACTCAAGAGACTTTATATATATATATATATATATATATATACACACACACATATAAATGTAACTTGTTAGTCTTTGCTGAGTGATTTTTAAACAAACCTGTGGGTTATCAAATGGCAGCTTCTGGCTCCTATTTACAGCTAGGTGACACGTTTGCTGAACTACATAGGAAAAAAAATCCTAATCCATTCTCTTTGTTCTCTCAGTTGGCATAAATATCTCAACAGAGCAGAACAGGAATCTTGCACTGGACACCTGTAGAGTCTAATTGGAATGCTTCCATTCCTAAGTTCTTTGCATCAGAACAAGTTTACAATGATTAGATGTAGTTTATACATTGTTGGTCACCCTTGAGAAACCCTCAAGATAAGCTCACATCATTTCTTTTCACTGCAGCAGGTAGTTCTGACGTTTCATATTCAGGAAAAAGTGTACCTATTTACAGGAGAATTAGACTGTATCAGTGACGTCACTTGAGTGGAATTAGGTTGCTCTTTCAACCCATGCAAGATGGCAAGTGACCAACTATTTTCAGGTTATTCAACATGAGGAACACAGTGGAATGACAAACAAGTGGCGATGTTGGCAATGGGGAGTTGGTTTTTGTTTACCATAATTTCTTTTAGCTAGGTACCAAGGACTAGATGAAGAGCTTCGGTGTCCTGGTAATACTTACTTTGCATGATTATAGGCTTCAATCTCTTCCAGCAATACACTGTCATTTAAAGAGAAAGGCCTGGTCTTTGCCAAGATTTTAAGTACTACTCCTGCTTCAGAGCCAACAAATATGACTGTGTAGTTCTGGTAGGGTCCAGCAGCATGGTCTACAGCAATTGCTGTCAATCTGTATCTATCAAGAGCAAACGGCACATCATTAATGGAATGTTTTTTGTTTTCCTTTTCACATGTTACTTTTGAACAGTGTTTATACCTGACACGTGTTTTGGTAAACCAGGGCTCCTCAATGATCGAGGGAACAGCTGAATCCATCAAAGGATGAGATTTGATGAAGGAGAGGGTTTCATCTGGGAAATCAATGGAGGTTTTGTAAGCCTCTGCTAGGCCATGTTTTGCACAGCAGCCAGGTCTGAAAGGAGAACAACATTGTTTTCCTCTTGGTATTTTGGTTAATGAGAGAAGGCAGCCTGCTAATGAGCATCCTTATGGCTGAAGTGTTAAGCTCTACTTTGGTTCTCATCTGACAAGACACTGAAGAGTGCACCTGATTTAAGGTAGCTCTTTACAAGAACAGTATTACATCCTCATGACTAAGAACCTTTTACCTTGGCTTTGGTACTTTGTCTTCAGGTACAGCTGTCCAAACAGAGTCAGGAGTCTTTTGTTCTTTAAATCTCCCTTTGAAGACTTTCTCGATGTCATCCATGCTGAAAGCACACACGGCTGAACCAGGGATGCTGCAAAATCAGACAAACAGTTGCAAAGGCTCAGACTACAATGGCACCAATCTCAGGGTAAGAGAGAACCAGAGAGCTACCTTTGATGTCAGGTTGCTCACCGCTCACCTGTTAAGCTGTGTGGTGAATACACCAACAACCGTGGGGACTCCATTGATTTCTATTATGTCTGTGATAGACTGCAGAACATCAAAGTAGAAAAATGAATCCCCGGGAACCGAGCAGTTGAGCCGAGCTTTCAGGAAGGATGTCCAGTGTTTCTCCAGGACTCTCTGGGACCCCCCCATGTCATTTTTGCATATTCGAGCCACACGGGAATACACAGCCTGTCAAGGGAAAACAAAAAAGGAAAACAGAGAAAGGCTTGAGAGAAGCAAGGAAAACAGTGCTTGTTGCTGAGCTGTTAATAAACCAAAGATAATTTTGTTAACAAGAAGCTGCCATTTATCTGCACAGAAAGGATGTTTAGCTCATAGCGCACAGGCATCTTAATGTATCACCAAGCAAATGCAGCTCTGCAGCTTGTACCCACCTTTTTTTCCCCTTCAAAATCATACTGTGTGTGAGACTTAAAGACTTTGATTAACCATGTGTAAAGGATTTAATAATTTATTATAGAATATCTTTCCATGGTGAGGCATAGGTATTATACTCTGTACTGGCATGACTGAATTATTCAGTATGCAGGGACATTAGGACAACATCTTTGAAAGTCTTCTTTTGCATTGTTTTCTTTTGTTTCTTTAATAAGCATGAGAAAAAATCTCCTTGAATTTTCCATGACTTGCAACAAGTGTTAACAGCAACACTAGAAGATACCTGTCATGATCTTGCCTACCACTGAGGCAGAGAGAACAGAGACAACTTTTTGGTTGAAGAACACATTGTTCTTTCTGTTTCCCCGCCCCCCCCCCCCAATTATAATGATGGGAAAACTGTGTGGACTTTGTACTAGTCCCTACTTTGTATTGTAAACTGTGCTTGTTACTGCTGCTGCTTTAGAATGGCTGATCCTGCTATGACTCATGGCTACCTGACAGCTCGCTGTGACGATACCCACCTTGCCTAAATTATTGTGCTCTACAGCAATTTCTCGGAAGAAGAAATAAACATAGTTCCCGTATTCGATGGCATGGAGGAAGTGCGGTTCTGTAAGAAAGAGCAAGGAGGCAAGTTACTCCAAGGAAATTCTCAATGGGCATATAACACCGACTATGCTATGTGACTTGGCAGCTTCTTCACAGCTCCATACCAGCTAACATGAGTTCCAGCCTTCCAGACACTTCAGGATATACAAACATGGGTGCGCTAGAGCTTAAATGGACTTGAAATCTTTAATGTTAGCTAATGGACTGTAAAAAGGGCTCACCGAAATTGCATTTCAGTTGAGGTATTTTGTTACTGCAGATTCATCCATTGATGCATTTAAGAAGAATTTGGCTTCATTTGTATTAAACTGCTTTTTTATTGTAATCACACTCTACTGAAAGCTGCATTATGCTGTCGTCGTGACATATGTGTAAAGCACACTGACCCTCTGCGCCACCGAAATGGCATTTGCCATGTGTATGGGAAAATACTCCCCCAAATTACCTTTTATCCATTTGGAATCATACTTTATTGTTCTTAGGGCAGATCCATCCCCCATGCTGCGATAAATAACAGCATCACTTGCCAGGAAATCTGCTACTGTTGCCGAATACAATTTTCCATCTAAAATAGAAGTTGAGAACCTGGTATTAAGAGGCCTTCCATAATCTGCAGAATTCTGACCAGCCTGTATTTTTCCCCATTTCTTTACTGCGGCTCTTCCCCAAATTGCTGCAACCTATTTATTAGCAGGTCAGCTTCTAATCCTTTGGAGGCCCTTTAAAAAATTTAAGAACAGGGGCACCATGACACCTTTAGCTTTCCTGTGCTCTCTTTAAAAGCTCTCTGGCTCCTTCGGTGCCATTAATCATTTAGGCTCATTACAAGCAAGAGTTCTTACCAGCAAAAAGGGCGACATTGGTTTGTCTGGCATCAAATGGGCATCTTGCCAAACCACTAATTTCCTCCCCATCATACTCCAAGGTATTCAGCTAGAGAAGAAAAATAAATGGGTGATAGTGTCATTTCTATTTTGTACACTGGCACAATAGCATAACATTGTCTTTTCACAACACTTAATTCAGCACATTGGCTTCTGTCTGTTTTTATTTCACCTTGAAGCACTCTCCAATCACACTGGATGTGTTTGCTATAGCATGATTAGTGCCAGCAAACCCACTAATGGATTAATGACAATTTCAATATTCTTACCCGATAGTATCTGCACATAGGGTTAAATGCATTTGTTCCACAGACAAACACCATCTCATCATTTCTTGGAACAAAGACTTTAATGAAGTTATGGCATTCATCCTGAAAAGAGAGTAAGATGTATTAATTGCAGACTTCACAATACATATTAGTGTTGTTTTTCTATAATATTATATGCTAAGCTTACTTTGTGTTTGCCTTTCATAGCACAGTTCTCTCGGTCCTGCTGCCTGGACCTCCATGTTAATTTCTGTTGAAGAAAACCAGAAAAGAACATTCGACTTCCTTTCCACAAAAAAAAAGTAAATCCAAAAGAAATACCTCTCCCTTGCCAGCTCCTGCATCTACTCACCTTGCTTGGGGTAACTTCCAATTTTGGAACTTCATTTAAGTTTACAGTGTAAACTTGGTCCCTGTTTGCAAGTAGAAAGACACATGTAAATTATTTAATTCACTGGCCTTATTTTTTTTACATACTACCTCTATTTTTAGAGTGTTTTGTTAGAACAGAAACTTTACAAAATGCTTAGGGATTTTCTGTGTTTAATACCAATTGGAGAAGGTTGGTCACGGGCAACATGGGGTGGCTTTGATTTTTTTATTGGTGTGGTCCTTAGATAGCACCTGAGTGTCCAGTCATCCACCTCTGTCTTTCCATTCTGTTGAAGACTAACCCAGACTGTAAATATTCAAGTGTTGTATCCTCACTTCCTACATCTGAATGTGTCAGTTCAAGTTTAAAATGATCAGGAGAGGTTTTCATCAGGGCAGTAATACGAAAGAGGGAAGAGAGTATTTGATGATTGGTTTTAGCATAACTACAGTAACTGCAGCCTTCAAATCCAATTTTCACGCCCTGGCCGTAGATACGAAGTATTTCTCTGGGAAGTCCTTCCCCAATTCTAATATTTATCTTATTCTGCAGATTTTTCTAAATGAATTTTACACATAAATGCAAAACCAGAAGAGAAAAGAATTTTCATCTAATGAACTGAGTGAAGGAAAATTACCTGCCAGCGATATAAAGTGTGTCTCGAATTTTCAACATCAGTTGGAAGTCCAGCCTGTGCTGAGATTCATTGCCTGAAGGGCGTCCTCTAAATACTGGATATTGCCTTGAATCTGCAAGTAAAAATGGGCTACACCATCACTCAGGATTATAGAGCTAAAGAATCAATATATGGCATTGATTAGCTGTATATACTAGGTGTAGAAGGGTTTAAACTAAATTCCTTGAGTAATGTCTTGAATATAAATGAGAAAAAGATGGCTAATGTCAGCAAATGTTCTTTTTCCTGAAGTTATTGCTGTATTTCTGATTGCTTTTTAAAGAAAATGATTAAGTGTTCTATTAAAGATACAAGCCCGTAAACACACTGCAATTTCAAAGGAAGCAGACTTCTTTTTTTTTTTAACTTCCCACGTAAAAAAAACCCAAACATTAAAACTTTTTCCACAGTGGCTAGCACCATTTGCAGGGTACTTACAGTGGTAGTCAACAACATTAATAGGGTCCTCATCTTCAGGGAAGCTGACAGCCCGGCACTGGGACAGACTCATCAGCATCATGGAGGCACAAAGCAGAGGAAGCCTCATGGCTGGTGGAAGTTGAGTACTACCTTTGGGGCAACACCGTTTAACTACCTGCAAAACAGGAATATGGCAATGGATTTCAGCAGCACAGGACAGTAAATGTGACTTCCTACTGCAGAAGAAGGTTTTTCTTTTGTATTTAAGCACTGGCAGCAGTGGACTAAATTGGTGCTTACGAAAGGCTCCTCTACGTACACTGATGGAAAACTACTGCGTGACACAGCCTACTCAAAGCTGCTCTGAAACATATTGATGTTTGCTAATTTTTAGCTGGATTTACACGCATTTCCAAAGAAGCTGACAACTGTCAGCCCATTTAATTCACAGGAATCACCAATAGAACATGCAGGCTGCTGACCTGGCAAGAAAAATTGTCAAACTTGGGATTAGAGTTTTAATTAAACTGCAATCTCTTTCCATCCCCTCTATCACTGAATGTCATCCAATAAACCCCTTTCCCCATAAAATACCTAAATCTTATCCACAAAACGTCATGACACACACAATCTGTCTCAACATCCATGCCATGTTTTAGAATTATTACTTCTTTCCAAGCAGTGCCATCATAATACTAACCCTAACATGCTCATGGTGAGAGAGACCTCTTGTCTAGGACCAGACATTCCATGCTTTGACTTGTGCAGTGATTTACACATATGTAAAGTAAATGCAGAACTGCTGCCTCTGCAGTGTGACAGTGCTTGCAGTGCTTTGCAAGGGTGGCAAGAGCCTCCAGTGGGGCTGAACTGGGTTCCCAAGATGCCACTTTTACTCTATTTGCTACTGTAAAAAGCTAGCAACTTCTGAGACTTTCACTTCTATAGATCATACAGCACATGTTATGATAGCACTGCAACATTATACAACAAAGCTTTTTAGAGGGGAAGGGAAACATAACTTCTCCAATTAAACCACAGGGATATTTTAGTGAGCAGAATGTAAGTTGTAAGAATGTACTCAAGTTGCAATTTGGGTAGGATGTAAGAAAACACATCTCAAAGTGAAATGCAATCCTTAATGACCACAACTGGTCTGGGCAGGGGTCATATTTCTCATTAGAAACCTGGCAAATGTAGTACTGTTCCCTCCTCCAACCTTTTGGAAGCATTCATTCAGCCCCGATTCACAGGTCAGAGCTTTGAGTCACCAGCTCAACGCCTTGCAGTTGCTGAAATCGGTTATTAAACTCTGTCTAAACAGAAAAAAAGATGCCTTTCCATTTGAAGGTTTCAAGACTGGCTGCAAGATGTACGTGTTGCCAGGACAAGTGTCAGGCATGATCCAGCAAAGCACATAAGTACTAGTTATTTAATAATCTGAAAAGCAATTTAAAAAACCCCTTCATAACAACACTTGACCTTTCAGTTGTGTTTACTGGGGATGAAAATACTGCATTTGTTAATTGATATTCAGCTAGGCACAGGGCTTCTTCCTTCCACAAGGCTGCTGAGCTCTCTCAGTTCAGGCTGGTCTGTGAGGAGACCAGCTTAAAAGGCTGATAACCCCTGGCAATGGGGGTGTTGTCTGAATGCCTGTCCATTACAGACTGACCTGAAAAGAAGCATTTTCCACTGTTACTGATATTTCTGTATCTCAGCCCACCAGTCCAGAACGAATGGGCTGTGCTCTTAGTCAAGACTGATGAGGGCAGTGGTTAATAAACACTAATGATTCCTGGCACTTTCCCTCTGCTCTTCCTTATCCTGACATGGCCTCTTCAGCTGAAGCATCCTGCGTTAAATTACTAATGAGCAAACTTAAACCAAACTGGAATTAATAAAGTTAGTCAAATTTGTTCTTTCTGCTGCAAGCACCATTAGAACAAAGTCCTGCAGCACAATGGCTCCCAGACACAATAACAAATCATTAACGGTTACACAATCTTTTTCCTTTTTCCCAAGGAAAGCAGACTCCAAATAGCCAACCCACTGCCGTCCCACTGAAAGAACAGACAGGGGAGGCACATAAACCGTACGTTGAAGCAGTGCACAGCAACATCTGTAAGGTGCTTAGTGAAAGTCCTCCCCGAAGCCTCGTTTTCTTGGAGAACAAATGAATACAAATTGCCCAAAGAGCAAGAAGCTCTCCCAGCCATGTAGGCCTTAGTTAGCATAGAAGATGAGGCTGTTCATGGCCCACACATCGTGACTCAGAGACCCTTGGCCTGGCTGCAAAACGCGCCCAGCCTCCAAACCGTACAAGTTCTGCCAGTATCAAGCATGGGCATGTATTTGGGAGTTTTTTTCTTCCTCTTTCCTTCCAGTATCCTATCTAGGAAGAATTCACCAGGGCAACAAATAGAAACTTATATGTAACCTGCCTTACAAAGGCAGACACTGTCTCCTACAGTGAGGAAACGGCTGCAGAGAATAAAAAGACAAATTGCTGCATATTGGCCAGAACAATTGTGACCTAAACCCAAACTGTCACAAACCCAAAAAGAAGGGACTGAAATGCCAGGTAAACACACACAATATCAGTTCTCTCAATTAGAGTCAGATTGCAGGGGTGTACCACACTGCCTAAAACAAGACATAGTTATATACATGTAAAACCACAGGATGCATCTCCCTAGAGACTGCACCCAGAGCAGAAACAAGCTCACTCAGAACCCCCTCAAACCTCTGAATATGCTCCAGAGATGAACTCTGAGGACATAAAGGCGGGAGCAGTTATGTTCAGCAATCTCTTTTAACTACACAGCACCTGTCACAAGTCTCTATCAAAGAAAATGTCTGCATCTGCATGAAGCAAAGACGTTTGTCATGACACAAGAAATGCAGACAGAGCGCCAGGCTGGATCAGCAAACCACAGGTAATCACTTCTTACCAGGCAGGTAAGGAGTACATTCATTATTATTTTGCTTGTTACAATCGTACTAGAAAATGAACAGTAGCTCTGATTTCCAGCTACATTAAGAAAAGAAAATGCACCTGCTTTGAGAGGCATTTAAATGCACCTTTTAGCTGGCTGGACACGGGCTTGAGAACCATTGAAAAAAGAATGAACTTGGAAGAACAGTTGTTCCCTGGATAATCAGAAAATGGGTTTCCATCTAGCCCCTGGAACAGGGGTTTATGACAGCCAGGTGTATGCTTCTGGGAGGCACAGATAGGCTTGTGTGAAAGATAATTCTTGCCACATTCAAACCTTCTAATGGAGGCCACTACTGGGGACTACAAATAACAATGCTGAAGTATCTGCTTGGACCAGAATAGCAGATTATGAAATGCTGGCAGTGTCTACCTTCAAGAAAAGCCAGAAAACAATCATACTCTGCGTCTGATTATTTCTCCCCAGCCAGGATTCAAACCGGTCTTTGATTAATTTCTCTTATAAATTGCATTCCTAGCACTTCAGCTAGAAAACAAATCATGGGGAGTGTAAGGTCTGGAAATTACCCTACTGCTCTCCCTGCTTTGCAGCCAGGGAACTGAGGCACACATCAAAGCTGAACTTGTAACCAAGGCCCACCACCAAAAAGCCTTTTCAAAGGTTCTGAGCTGCATACGTGGGTCATACGTGCTCCTTCCTTAGAGCACAGGCAAATTGGCCAGTGTCGCCCAAGTGGAGAAGCTAGTAACAGACCACAGATCTTCTGGCCATTTGGTCTATGCCATAGCTAGTTGTGCCTGCAAGTACAAAGAAACAGAGGTATAAATGTTAACTGCTGGAACAAATCCACATCCATAAAGAGGGCAGCAGCCTGACTGAACAGGCTTCAGGGCGAGTGCTGTTGGTCAAGTGGAAGGCAGGCAGTTGTCCCAAGTAATAAACTGGTTCTTTGTGGCTGGCACCTTTCAATCTCAGATACAAATCCTATCCTTCAATTCCTGATTGGGGGAATCCAGAGAAGCAGGACATCATTTCTGCTAAAATATGAGCCCGGCTTCAAACAATCACACATGAAGGGGAACAGGCTGTTGTTTCTTGCCCATTAATCTACTCCAGCCTTTGACAACGCACTGGTGACACTCCATCAATCATCTTTCCGTGCACTGCCATGTAAAAGAGGAGGGGGGAAGGGAAAGGGCATGCAGCCAGCTGGAGAGAAACAACACATAAAATAGCTTCAAGTCTATTCTTCTTGTATCTTCTAGTCACTAAAATAAATAAATAAATAAATAATCTTAAAACTCTCCTGAACACAAATGCTCCTCAAGAGGCTAAGGGCAGGCAGGAGTGTGGAATGGTAAATCCAGGCTAAAGTTCAAGATAGGTCAGAACAAAAGATACATCCTCAAAGTTAATTCACTTGTGGATAGCTTGGTGAGGCAAAAGAGAAAATGGCTGCAACAATAAAAGCTGAAAAGCAGGCCTGTAACATGACAAGACTACACTGCCTTCCATCTCCATCAAACGTAAGACAAAAATCAGGCTGTTAGGTGAGATCAAGGGTCTCCTCCGTGCTTGGAGGTTTATGTTAACAATAACGTTGAGGGGGGACGGGCAGAATTGATTAATAATATGCTGAGCTTAGTCAATTTACGTGATGTGGTTTCCCACAATCCCAAGTGACTGGACTTTGACAGATGAGGAAATCCCTGTTGTCCTCTGCTCCTTCCTGCATGCAAATGGCTCCCTGAGGGCACCAATTAGTGCAAATGCACCAACCAGTACATTTCTGAGATGGTACCTCCTGAAAATTTGAGCATGAAACCACTCTAATAATAAAAACTAAAAACATCCTTTCCTGCTGCTTGTTCACAAATGCTGAAGTTTCTCAGGACCTACAGCTGAGACTTCAGATCCTCTTTCTGACAGAGCAAAGCAGATCCTGTGCAACACTCAACAACTTCCACTCATCTCTGCCTTTGAGATAACCCCCAGTGAAGGTCACAGTGCATCCCTGGGCAGTGGCTTCAGGGCACTGAGCAGTTGGCCAAATTAGTGCTTCGAAGCTCTTTAACCAGAAGACCACTCAAACAACAAAAGATCTTTTGGCTGGGCTAGAGCAAGTCACAGATTTCACTTGCAACCAAAGTTATGTTAGTTTCCAAATGGGAACTTACTTGTGTTTTAGTACCAGCTCCAGCCCCCTTTTTTGCGG